AAAAGGACGTGATAATTAATAGGTTACAAGCCAAATTTAAAAAAAACTTTACTCCGATCTGTTACTGAGTTACATATTTTTGAAGTTGGGTACGACTTGTGGAACTGACTATAGCGTCATGTATATCTGATTCACCACTATTGTGAAAAGGGTCATTAACATTAACGTGTCTTATGTATTTTTCGATACAGTATATTACACTTGTCCGCTCTGTGGCTAAGTCGATGCGAACGCTTCGTAAAGCCTGGATGCCGGGTTCGATCCCAGCTACGGGCCATGCGCCTTGCGTTAGTTTCGACAGTGGTATCAGGGGGCCGACGGTCCAGGGGCAATGGCAAACTACTGGACGTAAATTTGCCTAGAGAAACCACACAATAGCCAGGGCTTCATGGGCTTAGTTCTGCAACGTCCTGTAAATGATACGCAACAGCCTTTGATATTACACTTGCGACAACACTTGGCGCAGAGCTTCCACGGCCTTAGCACTGATGTTAGAAGTTTGAACAACGGATCAACATCACGGCACACGGCTTAACTCATAAGTGCTCCGTTCTTTCTTCTAGCTCAAGTCTGAGTCCGAATAAGCTCAGCACAATGCACAGGCTCTGTAGCACCAGCGAGGATCCTTAAATACTTTTGGGTAGATTTTAAACTCTAAATTTTGCCCGGGCAGCGCCTTTAGGCTACTCTTTTCGATTTCCAACAGCCAAGGGGGTTTTTTTTTTTACGTGCGCAACAATGCACACTACCCAGAGATTAGGGGAAATACTAGAAGTCCAAGTACTCTAAAAATATACCCCAGTCCTTACCGGGGATTTGATTTGATTTTGATTTGATTCAAGAACCGACATCACAACACTCGGGGCATTCCCATAGGCGCTCCGTCCCCATCTTCAGCAGCCAGCGAAAAGTTCCGATCCTAATGGTGCCAGTAGCATTCTGATTAAACGTCCGTCTTGCCTTTCCTCTGAGCCTCGAGCATCTGCCAGAACCTCTCGTCAACCCCAACTGCATCAGTCTCACCAGACTGTGGTGATCCATCTGCTCCTCCGAAATGTACACTCTCTCCCACAAGGCACTAACCACGTCTGCCTTATCGTGAATCAGTATTCCACCAAATTGTGCAGAGCCAGCCAGTCTGTACGCCTGTTCATTTCCCAACACACAGGCGTTACCCAGTGAAAAAATCTAGACAATACTCTTCCCTTGTGTCCTCCGCAGCGAAGCATGCCACTCTGCACACCTGTCCTCATCTTCCTCAGCATGCTTTCTGAATCAGTTACAATCACGATATGTGTGTGTGTGTCGTGTTCTCTAGCTGCAGTGACCGCCTCCACCTCCATTCTTAAGCTGGATGTTGTGGTATCATATGCTAGGCTCTCTAAACGTCGATCATTAACTTTTGCTAAGAAGCCCCAAGCACTTCTTTTGCCTCTTGACACTGAACCGTCTGTGTAAATGATCAAATCCTCTGAGCGAGCATTATCTTGAATTAATTACTGAATTTCCACCTCTGTGGCACCTGCTGGCCAGTCTCTGCATTCACGGCACAGTGTGATTATGACTCTACACAAGTCTGACTGTTCAGATGGCACTTTGACCCACTCCTCTCCTCGCCTAATGTTCTCAAGGATGCAAACCTGTCTGAGTTGGTCTTCTGCCTGAGGAATGAGCCCGGAACCTATAGCTTTCGAGGCGGACATCATGCCCCGAGACCACGTGGCGATTTTGTAACAGAATGCAGTCTTTATTTATTTTTATTTTTTTATTGTCTCATTGTTCATTTGTGTCATATGCAAATGGATGCTTTCTTGTCACAATCTTTTGTCGTTTATGATTGTTGTAATAGGAATCTAGTTCTACTTCTCGTTAGGATTGATATTTTGCAACCCGAAGATAGGTAACTTAAACTGAACAGAAAGTGGGTCGATGAAGAAGCAAAACAACTAGGACAAGAAGAAGTAGAAGTTCTAGTAACAGTAGTAGTAGTAATAGTAGCAGCAGCAGCAGCAGCAGCAGCAGCAGCAGCAGCAGCAGCAGCAGCAGCAGTAGTAGTAGTAGTAGTAGTAGTAGTAGTAGTAGTAGTAGTAGTAGTAGTAGTAGTAGTAAATGTAGTAGTAGTAGGAGGAGGAGGAGGAGGAGGAACAGTAGAATTAGTAGTAGCGGCAGTAGCAGCAGTTAGTATTGGTAGTAGTTGCAGTAATAGGGGTGGCTGTAGTATTAGCAGCTGTGGTGGTCGATCTGTTGGTAGTAGTAACTCTGTAGTCTGCGGTAGTAGTAGTGGTGGTGGCGGTAGTATTAGCAGCTGTGGTGGTGGGTCTGGTGGTAGTAGTAGAAGTGGTGGTAATATTAGCAGCTGTGGTGGTGGATTTAGTAATAGTAGTAGTACTGGTGGTGGTGGTAGTATTAGCAGCTGTGGTGGTGGATCTGGTGGTAGTAACAACTCTGTAGTCTGTGGTAGTAGTAGTGGTGGTGGTGGTAGTATTAGCAGCTGTGGTGGTGGATCTGGTGGTAGTAATAACTCTGTAGTCTGTGGTAGTAGTAGTGGTGGTAGTGGTTGTATTAGCAGCTGTGGTGGTGGGTCTGGTGGTAGTAGTAGCTCTTTAGTCTTTGTAGTTAGTCTGCTGGACGCTTAACTCGTTTACACTGGAGGTAGAAAGAAGCCAACATGTCTGCCTGCAGCTGTTGCAGCTGTTTACGTCTAGGTTTGATGTCGCTGGCGTTGTTGTCTTACTAGAACAGATCATGAAGTTATCAGAATTATCTACGCCTCAGTCGTTTGTTTGATGTTTTTATGTTTCATTAGAAGTCAAATTTTGTGCAAAAAACAATCCATTCATATTATAAACGTATATGGTAAACCGTAATTCTCAAGAATACTACTGTACTACGAGTTTACGGCCCTTCTTCGGACCTTCAGACCTTCAGGTTTGGTTTGTTAAATTTTTGTTTGTAGAAATTTTGAATTTAGTCTTAGTCTAAAATACTAAATAACTTAGGACTGAAAGTTGTCACACCATAGTTCTGCAGTATGTTCACATTTTTCACGTAACTATTGTGCAATTTTATGCATGTATGAGAAAAGAATCAATTAGTTTAGACCTCAACTAACCCACATATAGTTGCATTTGGCTGTCCTCCGAATAACGTCCCAAATTATCTAGGCTAAGAAAATAGGCTATCCTCCGAATAAAGGTCCCAATTATCCGGGCCGAAAACATACCCTAACAGGGCCTTGGTCACATGTAAATTGCGGACCTCTTTCCTGCGACTACACAGCATACTGCGGAAAAGCTTCAGCTGACTTAAAGTCACTGCTGAGAGTTCCCCCATGCCGCTACACGCAGCATGTAGTTGGGCTAAACTAGATGGCTGGGACTCACGAGCAGCAGCTGCAGCATCTCCCGCAGTTTCCTTCATTTTATTTGCTCATGAGTCCCAGCCATCTAGTTTAGCCCCACTCCGCGCCGCTGGGAAATACTCAGCTGTAGCGGTATAGTTGCCAGAAAGAGGTCCTCAATTTACATGTGACTGAGGCCCTCTAAGGGTATATTTTCGGCCTCCATAATTTGGGAGCGTTATTCGGAGGATAGCCGGGCCTCAGTCATATGTAAATTACGAACCTCTATCCGGTGAATATACCGCCGAGAGTATCCCCTGCGCCACTGTGCGGAAGGGTGCTGAACTAGATGGCTGGGACTCACGAGCAAATAAAATGGGGAAAGCTGCAGGAGATGCGGTAGCTGCTACTCGTGAGTCCCAGCCATCTAGCTTAGCCGCTGCTCTGTGCCACGCGTAGCGACCGGGGGGGGGGAGGGGGCCTCTCGTAGGTGACTTTAACTAGGCGGAAGCTGTTCCATGGTATAGTCGCCGGAAAGAAGTCTGCAATTTACATATGACTGAGGCCCAGTTATGGTATTTTCTTAGCCTCGATAATTTCTGTTGTTTGGAAGATAGTCGTTGCATTTTTTAGGTAGCATTTAATTCTAAACTTGAAGACATTCAGCGTAGTAATAATAATTGTTGGCTGAGCAGCCTTTCTTGTCTAATGCTATAGTTTAGAATAATAAAATAGGTGTCCTTATTTAATTGTCAGACTGTATAGTAAAAAGTAAACATAAAGGACCCTTTTCCATACTTTCTGGCAGATTAGGCATGTAGGGCTAGACCTGTAATTATAATAGAGCAATCAGCACTCTAGGGGTGATGTGGCTAACACCAAACATACCAGCTGCCCTTACCCCAGGACTGTACTTGCTACCCAGTTCAGTCTGGGTCAGCCTGGCAGCCAAGGCCAATATTTCAACAAACAAATGTGCGCCTCCTGTCAGGGCCCGAACCCATGATCTTCCGACCAGCAGGCAAGCGTCTAGTCAATACACCAAGGTGACCCCCGGCAAGCATCTAGTCAATACACCAAGGTGACCCCCAGCAAGCGTCTAGTCAATACACCAAGGTGACCCCCGGCAAGCATCTAGTCAATACACCAAGGTGACCCCCGGCAAGCGTCTAGTCAATACACCAAGGTGACCCCCGGCAAGCATCTAGTCAATACACCAAGGCGATCCTCGGCAAGCGTCTAGTCAATACACCAAGGTGACCCCCGGCAAGCGTCTAGTCAATACACCAAAGCGACCCCCGTCAAGCATCTAGTCAATACACCAGGGTGACCCCCAGCAAGCATCTAGTCAATACACCAAGGCGACCCCCGGCAAGCATCTAGTCAATACACCAAGGTGACCCCCAGCAAGCATCTAGTCAATACACCAAGGCGACCCCCAGCAAGCATCTAGTCAATACACCAAGGCGACCCCCAGCAAGCATCTAGTCAATACACCAAGGTGACCCCCGGCAAGCATCTAGTCAATACACCAAGGTGACCCCCGGCAAGCGTCTAGTCGATACACCAAGGCGACCCCCGGCAAGCTGTCTATATAATAATAATTGTGTTTTTACAGGTGTGCTGTTGGAAGTCAACCTCTTGATGTCTGGAGACGAACATGCAAGTCATGCAGAAGTGTGAAAGAGCAGTTGGCAGGTTTGCATCCAGAGTTTCCTGGAAGTCTGTGACTGCCACATTTTTCTGCTTTGTGCTGTCTCTGTACCTGTTGTTTGCCTTGATCAACGACCGCTACATCCACCACCATGCCTGGTATGAGCGGCCGGCACCATGTGTCACACCACAGATTATCATGGATGGGATGGTGGAGCTGACGTTTTCTGTTACCCGCTTGCTGTCCAAGCTGAATATATCACATGTTATTTGTTACGGGACATTGTGGGGCGCCTTGAGACAAGGAAAGATTTTACCTTGGGATAATAATGTTGATGTGAGTATAATATGTCTGTTTCTTCTTTTTCTTTTTCTTCTTCTTTCCTGCCCATTAATCTAATCTCATCATCATCCTCCGGTAACATTGTGTGTTATTGGGTCACCAGCTGCTGTTGACTGCCTGATCAGCTCCCTCCATCTTTGACCATCAGATGCTATGGAATTGATGGTCACATACCTAAGGCCTTTCCAGTCAGTCAAGTCATTTTCTGTATCCAGGGCTTTCTTGGTCTGCTTCTTCGTCTCTTTCCCTTTACTGAGCCTGGTGTATTGTTTTTGAGAGACCAGTATGAGAGAGACACACACACGCACGCATGCACACACACACACACATACATACATACCTACATACATACATACATACATACATACATACATACATACATACATACATACATACATACATACATACATACAGAGTCACCCACACAGACACACTTTCACAAACACACACTTTAAGACACACACGCATACAACCCAGACACATACAGCTATACAGACACATACTCATATGTAGCTGCACACAAAAAACACCTACAAACACACACCAGAGAGAGAGACTAAGCCATACAAGATAGTTACTGCTGCAGTGAAGTCAGCAATCTAGCCTAGAAACTATGCTTAAGCATAAACATGTGAGCTCTGTTGTATATTCAGATATCCTACCTTGTGACAGCTGTTACAATTGAAGCTGTTTTGAACCCAACAAGAGGAAAGAAATTCGCATTACTGTAAAGTTGGCTTGCCAAAAATACAGGCAGTGTCCTACATATGTTCCTTTGTGAACTCTAATTTGAGCCCCAGTATCCAGTTTCATGATTTAGTGTTCATCTGTTATTGTTATGGTCCTAGTACAAAATATTTCCATGTGCATAGGAGTAACTGCTGTCTTTTGTTGTTGAAAGGAGCAAAAACCACTGAAAAGTGCAAGGTGACTTACAAAAATTAGTTTTCAGTGATTAAAGTTTAAATTTAAAAAAACACCTAAGATTAGCATTGCTGAGAGAACGAACGAACAAATGAGCAAACTTTATTTTCAAAGGGTTAAAAATTGGGCATGCAGGCCTGTCTGACATTAGAGGCCAAAGCTGCTAGACTGGACTCCATCTATGATATTGAGATCATTGCGCAGGATAGAACGGAATAGAGGGTTAGACTAAGAGTTCTGTGTATCATATTATGGTACGAGAGGATGATGATGATTACAGTAAAATATGTTTGTCACCTCCACTGTGGAGGTTGGCTTGTATATGTATATATATATATATCCAGTGCTGCCTGTGAGAAAAATATATAACAGACATTGAATCATTTGTCATTAATGTTTTCTTTCTCTCTCTCTCTCTCACACACATGTACACATGCATGCGCTCACACACAAAAATATATATAGTGAGTCACTTGAAAATCTGGTCGATGCTCAACACTGAAGGGAGGGGCGAGACAATCCGACTGTTACTGGTACCATCATAATTTGTAACTCTGCTTGCTGCTGAAGATGGAGACAGAGCGCTTATGGGAATGTCCCCAAGTGCTATGATGTTGAATCTAAACGTATAACTGATATGTCCAACCAAACAGAGCTACCATGGTTCAGGCCGTTTGAACATAGATCAAGATGATCACTGGGAATGCAAACTGTCCTCAGGAATTGTAGCCTGAAAGATTAAAGCCATTGACTCAAGTTGTATCAGACATGAATCAAACAGGACCAAATACAAGAAAACCTGTTCAACGTTATACAACAGTTATATTGGAGCACCTTAGGGATGCGAAGTAACCTGCTGTCCAACATGGTGTGGGTACTAGTGAAAATCCACCCATTTACCTCTTTCGGCCCCAAGCAACACCCAGTGTGTGAATACATTGACCCCTTGATTCTCCTCTAAGGCATAATGCTCTCTCCTACTTTTACCATTTGGTCAGAACATACTAGAAAAATCTGGCTTTCCTCAATGGTCACTACAACTATGTATGTTGTTAATTTGAAAGTAAAGCATTCATTATTTGGCATCATGATTATTTTGTCATTTTAGTATCTTATGTGAAACCCTGTGGTATCGACAGAGTTAAAGCACAATTATTGTATAAAATGTGAATACAATTACTTCTACAGAGATGATTTAGGCAACTGTTCGTCTTTTTGGGCCATGGAGTTGTGCCGCTGGTTTTGGGAACAGCATCTGCTATGACTAAAGTCCACTACGGGAGTGCCAGTCTTTGTGACATTGTCCACATAAAATTGTTGATGCTCTGTTATAGTGAGGCTGGTCCTTTCTCAAATGTCTCCTGTCTTTAGCTTCTTGCGTTTGGCCTCTAGTAAACTGTCACAGCCCACCTCTCACTGCCTTTATAGGAGTCAGCCTGCGTCTGATCTCTTTGAAGTGTCTGTCTCAAAGTTAGTATCTTTCAGGTTACATTTGCATATGTTCTTATGGCATGGCTTTGGCCACCTCTGTTACCAGTTTGCCATACAAGAGATTGTTTGGGACATAGACTCTGATCATTTTATTTAAAGGTTTGGTGATGTGTGTGACGCTTTTGGTAGACAGCCTGTTGTTCTGCAGTGCAAGGAAAGTGACCGTCTTGATTTTTAATTTATTTAGTTCCAACTTTGCCTTTAACCGCATATACAATACACCTAGGACTGTTTCAGTCTGGGAGCCCACATCCATTTGACAGAGTCCCCACCTTAATGGGGGGTTTGAAAATGATTACTCCTAATGGGAGTTCCAGGGCTCCATTCTAGGAGCAATAAACAGAATAGATCCACTGCCTTCTAACAAGCATGTGGTAAAAGTAAACTAATTAAGGGTGTTTCTTTCAAAGTCGGAGTGCATCTGCCTGAGAGGCCAGGATCCAACGGTCTGCATACAAATAAGCCAGATCTGTAAAATGGATATGCATACAAAACTCAAGTTCTGGAACAAAACTGAAGTCTAGAAGTGGACAAACAACCAGGATGGACAAACAACCAGGATGGACAAACAACCAGGATGGACAAACAACCAGGATGGACAAACAACTAGGATGGACAAACCACCAGGATGGACAAACCACCAGGATGGACAAACAACCAGGATGGACAAACCACCAGGATGGATAAACAACCAGGATGGACAAACAACCAGGATGGACAAACCACCAGGATGGACAAACAACCAGGATGGACAAACAACCAGGATGGACAAACAACCAGGATGGACAAACCACCAGGATGGACAAACCACCAGGATGGACAAACCACCAGGACTTTTCCATCAGAGTTTACAGCTTGTGAACACAAAGAAAGAACAACAGCACTATTGCTAGCCGGCTTACAGGTGGGTATACTGACCACTTCACTGTTGCAGCTGCCTGACGTTGCTGTCATAACTTATAACCCATGTACTACTAGGACTTGCATGAGAAGCAAAGAAAAGTAATACTGAATCCTACAAGACAAGTCTTAATTTTTAACAAAAGGTAGGGTTGTGCTAGGGGTTGGTTACCTTGTCCCAAGAAAGAAAACAACAGCCACAGAAAACAACCTGCCATAAAATAGTCTAACAAAGTAACACATAAAAGAATGATTTGGTGTGAGTTGGTGAAGGGCCTTTGAGTTATGATTTGGGTTACCTTCATGGCACTCAGGACACGTCCATAGGTGCTCAGATTCCCCCCTTCAACATATAAATCAGCGTCCACAGTTGATAGTCCCAGTCCTATGTGGTTGACAAGACTTCTTGTGCATCTAGTGTGCTTCTCGTGCCTGGCTGTGCTAATCTTAACTCCCAGTTCTTGCACTCTTAGCAAAGATGTGGATGTGCTGCTCTTAAAATCCTCCAGATGTCCTACCTCTCTAATGGCGTTTACAGTGTCGATATGATCCTTGGGCCTGCCCTTTGTAACTAAAACACAGCCGGCTAATATGTCAGCTCTTTCATTGCCAACAACACCTGCATACCATGGGACAAAGATTAAGGTAACTACGCACAGTGGAGTTTTGCAGTGAATTGTTCCACTGTCTGCGTACAAAGCCCACCTTGATACGCCAGATCATTCTCATGGAATACTCATGAAGGACCTGTACTCCATGGGTGATAGAAGGCAGAAGAAGAAGAAGTCTATAACATTTCATGAACTGACACTAGGGTCTTGTGTCTTTCCTCAGTTTTGCTTACTCAAGAATGAAATCGAGAAAGTGCCTTACTCCACCCTTCAAGCAGAGTTCAAATCCCAGCAGATAGACTTGACCTATGACCATCGGCATGGAGATTACATCGCTACACGTGGCCCTGCTCAAGCAATCATCAGTGTATTTTATATCACCATCTATGACGAAGTGTTTAAAGATGGATTGGAACATAGATTAATGTGGTTTTTCCAGGATAAACCAGTATCATTTCCTGCTCGACTGATCGAAAGCCCGTTCAACACAGCCATGTTTCATGGGCAGCAGATACCAGTGCCCCACGATGGGATTGAGATCCTCAAATATCTCTACAAGGATGATTGGTGGTTGGAGAAACCCCCCATTGGATGCAGATCCCCAAACTGACAACAGATTACCAGATGCAATTGTTTAATTTATTTCCTTTAGAAGATGTTTGGTGCTTTTGTTTTTAAAGTCTACCATGACACTTCTTCCAAAGTAAGCAGAAGAAAATCCAGTTTATTATTTTTATTGTTATTGATTTTATATGTTAACATGCCCAGATTAATGTTCCACGTGGGCTGTCTTCCACTTTGATCCCACCTTTTCCTCTTCCATCCTCATTCACCCTACTTCTCCTTATTTCTTGTTTTGTTTCTTTTTCCATCTCCTACTTATCATGTTTCTTCACTGCACTTCTTCTCGGCATTTTCTTCTTGTGCCTTTTCTGATTGTTCTACTCTTCCTCCTCTGCTTCTATTTCGTTGTTTTCTCCTTCTTGTTTGTGCTCACACTTCTCATTCTTTTTCTCCTCCTTTGCCTTCTTCTAACTCTCCTGCTTCTCCCCTACTTCTCCTGTTTCTCTTTAATTCTATTCATAAAGACGCATTAAGAAAATTAGAAACAGGTATTATTGTGTCATGATCATGAAGCAGGTCTTTTGCAGAATATCGCTCTCATCACGGTCTGCCTGAAAGGACTCAGTCTCTCGCCAGCTCTCCCACCTCATGTACTTTCATATTCAAGGTACCAGGCCTTCTGCTATTATTTTTTCAAATCTGCTGTGGTGCTGGATATGACCAAAATATATCAGCTTCCGAGACAAGATACTGTTAATTAGCCAATATTCCTTGGTGTTCAGATCTGTTAAAATGTCAGCATTTCTTCTCTTTTTTGTCCATGGTATTCTGAGAATCTTTCTTTAGCATTTCAACTCAAATGCCCATTTTTTCTTTCTGAAGGCCTGGGAGACAGTACATGACTTACATCCGTATGTTGCTACATGGAAGGTGCCAAATTTGGATTTCCTTGCTGGTGCTTGACCAGAGACTTTTAATGCTGTTTAATCTTTGCATTTCCATATCTATTCTTACATTGATTTCTGTCAAGCAGTCTCCGTTGCTGTTTCTTATAGAGCCTAGATATTCAAAGTTTGTGACATTTTCAATTTCTTCATCATTTATTGTAATTTTTGGGTGACGGGCAGTTTTTTCTTTAGACATTATTTTCGTTTTCTTTAAATTCAAGAATAGTTTTTGATCTTCACTGTGTGATAAAGATACAGATGTGATAAAATTTTTTATTTCTTTAACATTGTGCGAAAGGTGAACTGTGTCATCTGCATAGTGAAGTTCTTAAATAGGCTTAACTCCAGTGACGAGTGGACTGTCACAAGTCTGGTCATTTTTTTACATTTCTCATTATATTTTCTGCATAAATATGTTGAATTGGTATGGTGAGAGAATGTGCCCCTGTCTCACTCCCTCCTGCACCTCGAACTAATCTGATGTTCCACCAGCTGCTCTTATAGCTGCTTGTTGTTCATGGTATACATTTTCAGATCCACTGGAAACCCCATACTTCTCCACAGTTTCTGATGTTGGACGCAATCAAATGCCTTGCTATAATGAAACAGGCATGAAGATCTATGTTGTAATCTGTACATTTTTCAAAAATTTTTCTCATAATAAAGATGGGATCCCTAGTTCCTCTACCCTGTCTGAAACCTGCTTGTGCTTTGTGTAGCTCATATTATGGTTTCCTTTCAATCCTCTTTATGATAATTTGTAAGAAGATCTTGCTAGCATGACTTATTAATGTGATGGTACGATAGTTGGAGCATAGTTTCAGATTTCCTTTTTTTTTTAAATAGATTGTTCTTTTACAGGCACTGCTCCAGATCTTCATGCACAGTGCATGATAGATTCAGCATGCATTCCTCTATAGGATTCTTTCCGGCTTTCTAATATTCTGTTAATGTGTTTTAGTTTTTAATCATTATTACATGAAAAGATGGCCTGAATTCACCTTTAAATGTTTTAATTTCTTTAAACATGTATGTTTCAGCATTTAAACAAAAAGTCTATGACCAGTCAGTATGTATGTGTGTGTATGTATGTATGTGCATGAGTGTATGTGTGTGTGAATGAGTGTGCATGGGTATGTGAATATGTAATGTATGTATGTATGGGGATCTTTAGGGGTTGTCTCTGGAGCTACAGAATACTGTGCTTTGTGTAATGCTTATGATGGGCAGACAGACTCTGTGCATGGAGAGACTAAGCCATATTTGATGAAATCTAGTGCAGTGAAGTTGATCCATTTGACATCTAAACACCTATTTTTTTAATTATTATTATTTTTTTTTTAATTTATGAAAAAGACATAAACAGTGTGTTGCATAATTTGTTGTCTTGCATATTTTATTGTGGGTTTTGATTAATGATTTCATATGTCTACACTTATGATTGCATAATTTTAGTTCTTCTTTATGACATTCTTCTCTCTCTGTGATATTCAGAACATTCTTCCTTGTCCATGATACATTCATTATTCCTCTCTGTTTGTGTTATTCTCAACATTTTTCTCTGCCCGTGACATTCTCAACATTTTTCTCTGTCCATGATATTCTCAACATTTTTCTTTGTCCATGATATTCTCAACATTCTTCTCTGTCCATGATATTCTCAACATTCTTCTCTGTCCATGATATTCTCAACATTAATCTCTGTCCATGTTTATCTCAACATTCTTCTCTGTCCATCTGACAACAGTTCTCTTGATATTCTCAACATTCTTCTCTGTCCATTTATAAAAAGTCTCTCATGATATTCTCAACATTCTTCTCTGTCCATGATATTCTCAACATTCTTCTCTGTCCATGATATTCTCAACATTCTTCTCTGTCCATGATATTCTCAACATTCTTCTCTGTCCATGTGGGTTTTGATTATGATTTCATATGTCTACACATTCTTCTTGTCCTTTATGACATTCTTCTCTCTCTGTGATATTCAGAACATTCTTCCTTGTCCATGATACATTCATTATTCCTCTCTGTGTTATTCTCAACATTTTTCTCTGCCTGTGACATTCTTAACATTTTTTACTGTCCGTAATATTCTCAACATTTTTCTTTGTCCATGATATTCTCAACATTCTTCTCTGTCCATGATGTTCTCAACATTCTTCTCTGTCCATGATGTTCTCAACATTCTTCTCTGTCCATGATATTCTCAACATTCTTCTCTGTCCATGATGTTCTCAACATTCTTCTCTGTCCATGATATTCTCAACATTCTTCTCTGTCCATGATATACTCAACATTCTTCTCTGTCCATGTTGATCTCAACATTCTTCTCTGTCCATGATATACTCAACATTCTTCTCTGTCCGTGTTGATCTCAACATTCTTCTCTGTCCGTGTTGATCTCAACATTCTTCTCTGTCCATGATATTCTCAACATTCTTCTCTGTCCATGATATACTCAACATTCTTCTCTGTCCATGATATTCTCAACATTCTTCTCTGTCCATGATATACTCAACATTCTTCTCTGTCCGTGTTGATCTCAACATTCTTCTCTGTCCATGATATTCTCTACATTCTTCTCTGTCCATGATATTCTGTCAGCTTCTGTGACTGCCTTCGTCTCCATTCTCAAAATAGCTGTACTGTCATAGCCTAGGCTTTGTTGCACTGACATTCATTCGCCTTTTGCAACGAACCTCCATGAATCCTATCAGTTCAGTGCTCACTGTCCAACAGAGATCGCCCCCAGACTTGTGTACTTGTCATAATATTTCTGTTTTCACAATAATTTTTTACTGATGAAATATGATCTTCTTTGTTTGTTGCAAATGAATCATCATCATCTCTGTTTTGTATCAAGTGTTATAAGAAGGAATTGTCTGTGCTGCAGCTTTAAATGGGTGGCACTGGCTGTTGTCATTACTTATGAATGAAAAATTTCCCTAATGTGTTTCACCATCTTCTTGGGCGCCCTCTTGCTGTCTTATCATATCTTCCCATGTTGGGAGCCTCTGTTGGTAATTGGTATTGCGGCATTCTATTGAAATCCCTGTGTTATTAAATTTTCTGTTTCTCACAAGTTACCATATTTTTCGTGTATAAGTTATGATTTTTTGAAAACTGTTGAGTTTAAAAATTGCAGGTCATTTTATACATGAAATGTTGAAATTTATTAGTAAATCTTTTACCATATATGTGTTAAGGGACAGAAAGTCTATCCAGCCTTACTCTCCCCACCCCCACCCCAGTATGTGGACTCAGTACCTACTTGGGGAATTGTATGCATAGTTACTGCTCATGTCCAATGTGGCATATTTTTAAAAAAGATTTGTGATAACAGTGGCTGTGTTTACTGCCAGATGTTGACTAACACTGCATCAATTGTGAGATTTTAATTATGCATTTTTTTAATAATCTGAATTTAAATCTGGGTTTTAGTTTCATAAATCACTGTGGTGTAGCGGCTAGACGCTTGCCTGCGGATCGGAAGGTCGTGGGTTCAGGTCGTGACCTCCAAAAATGACCTTGACTCCCAGGTTGACCCAGCCTTGAGTGGGTATCAGGTGCAGTCCTGGGAAGTAAAGGCGGCCCTGTGATGTTGACCACATCACCCACCAAGTGCCTATTGGTCTATCAAGTCAGGTCTAGCCCTATGTGCCCAATATACCTGAAGGTGTGGAAAAGGGTCCTTAATTTTTTCTTTACTTTTAGTTTTCTAATTTAAAATATGAGCAATTTTTGTTATTACCCTAATACCTTGTCATTTTAGATTAAATTGATACTATTTTAAATTGTATTAATTAAAGTTGTTGAGTCTGTTAAATCAATTTGTGGGGATACCTTTTATGGTAATTCTTGTATTAGTAAATTGTCTTTATGGATATTTATGTAGAGAAGTTTTGTGTCAATCACAGGTGAAAATAGCGGAGATGGAGAATGAGAAGCAACAATGAAATGTATAATCTACTCTGGTCATCCTTTACCACAGGTATCGTAATAGACTGCAAAGGTTGGGGTATAGCTCTGTATATTGAGAGGCTGCCATCTAACAGAGAGACAAACACTGCGTACACATGAATTGACTGGAGTAGAC